ATTTTATCTAACACCCTGCCTGCGATGATTGTCAGGTCGAATACATAGGTCAAAGTAGTAGGACATGGGCAGTCAGTCAGACTAGCCGTACATAAAAACCTAACGGCAAAATCTAGATTAGTTGACCCGAATAGGATAAGAAATCGGGAGAATAGTTCAGCTATACACATGCAATTACACAACCACACAATAGGATGATGGGATAAGATGACAGTTTTAAAATCTAATGTCACAAGGTGGATGGAGAGATTGATAACAGAAGCTTTCTTTATCGAACCAACTCAGAGGGAATACATGTTATAGGAATGATTCAACACCTGTCCCAGATATATAGAAAATTCTACTACTCCTATGACAAATAGGAGAGAACAAAGAAAACTATAAAACTCAAGTTTCGGAGTCGTGTGATTATAATTGATAGGTATGATTATGAGCAACAATAAATTGTGTTGGAAACGTCATTCAGTAAATAACACTGTTTGATTGTGTGATATACCTAATAATCAAACTAATATGAAGGGAAATATACTTGTATTTGTGAATTTCTAAACGCTAGACATATTTAAAAGTTATAAGAATGGATTTTAATAGCTCTTATAGTTGCTTACGAAAATTTAAAAGAGATTTGAACAAATGAATCCTAAAATACTATGTCAATATCTATCCGCAGCATAATTTATTTGGCATAATCCAGAATAATTTTTATTCCCGCAAATGACATCTTAATCGCTGAAGATGAAGGCAAAACATAACTTTACACCTTATGTGTTCTTTGGTGTTTATTACTGACAAGAATTTCCAACCTGGAAGAGATGAAAAGACGCTCTGGATGCAGAACTCCGCCTTTCAGAACATGGTGGATTCAGGGAAAGTAAATCATCAGATGTCTTGGAACTTAGGTGTGTGTGTGTGTGTGAAAGAGAAAAGAATAAGAACAGTAGCTAAGGCGTCCAAACTTTCAGACGTAACAATGAGTGATGAATAAATCTACACTAATGGGAATAATTCTGAATTGTTTAACATCTTGAACATTGAAGAGATTTTGTTATATATTTCTCTCAGACATTTTGACTAAAAGTCAATGGCTTCATGGAATGATATCTTGTTTCAATCTGCTCACTTCCAGAATTCGGTCCGAATCTAGTCAGAATTGTTGATAGAGAGCGCTCGCATCTCAACCTGTTCTATCCACCTAAATCTATAACGGTATGCAATCTCTTTGGCCAACAACAAACAGTCAGACCGTTTGGTATCGATGAAACTGCGTGAGATAGATTAGAATTGGGATAAAAGGATAGTATTTGGCAGCTAGTGTGACAAAGTTCAGTGGGCGGCTACGCGCCGCCTACTCATATGCTAAACTGAAAAAGCCTTTGGTGAATTCTAAATTTGTTGGGACTGTTACCTAAATATCTTGCAAGTATGCAACGTGCCTGTCAGAATATGCATAAAAGTTATTTAAACATTTTCATCTAGTTGTAGGCCTACTAGATTTAAAAAGCTGATCCTTGTCAAACAAAATACACTTGCTTAACTGTTATTATTTCACAGAAAGTACTTTTGCGAGGCAATTGGACAAAACAAGGCCTTTAGAATGAAAATAACTGTGTCTGAGAAGAAGACAAGAGATTACCTTTTAATAATGATATTTTGAATAGGGAAATAACGAACAATTTTGCTCCTTTTGTTTTTGTGGATTCTCTTCAGCTACCTACATCCTAAATAAATGAATTATATATTACAAAATAGTGTCTAAACATACTTTTTACAGTGATTTCAAGTTATAGTTAGAGAGTACAAGTATAATTTCGAAGATGACATAAGGAGACAATCTCTGTCTGTCTGTTTTCGACATAGAACTTTGCACATATGTGCGAAAGTTCAAGTCGCCACACTCCATGTACCACACAAAGGAAGAGAAGAAAGTAGGAGAAATGCATATAAGAGACAGTAAACAGAGGTGTGAGATAAAGAAATAGTTATAACGAAGAACAAAACAGTTTCATTGGGAATCATAAGTCACAAGGAGTGGATGCATCTGCGCTAGCCATTGAGAACGATTTTGAGCCATGTCACCAATTGTTTCCAACAATTGGTTTTTACCGTCCCGAGGACCCAAACCAGTCAGGAAGTCTACATCTTCCTACGTGGCTTAGACTAACTGTTGTGGATTTCATTGACTGGTGCCATGTTTTCGTTTGACCGCCGCTAGCTCTTTTCCAACCTGGCCCTATATCAGCTAACATTGCCCATTGTCGAGGAAGGCGATGGCTAGGCTGGCATACGTAACACATGTCCTAACCATCTCAGTCGATGTAATTTCACAGCCTCGTCAATTGATATCCCCTTCTTACCAAGCACTCGACGCCTAACCTCAATATTTCTCACCTCATTATACCACTTCACGCGGGAGATGGAACGCAGACACCTATGATCGAAGACAGCTAATCTTTCCATGTCTTCCACTCTCAATGGCCAGGTCTCGCTCACAGCCATAAAGGAGGACGGAGCGGACTGATGAGCAGTACACACACCCTTCGGTCAATAGTCGGATAACGCGTCTACGCCAGAAACGGCATAAACTGGCATATGCGAAACTAGCCCTCTGCATCCGTGCTGAGATTTCGTCAGAGGTCAAACCGTTGGAGCTAATGGTACTTCCTAAGTAAGTGAAGTGGTCAACGTGCTCTACCACTTCACTTCCTATTTCTAATCTAGGAGTCGGTGTGGTCCAATCATTTCTTGTTAAAAGAGTAACTATTTATATGGTAATTAGACAAGGGCAACGGGTGGAATTCAGATTTCTCTCGGAGACAAGGATGGGTTAGAGGCAAAATACAAGATAGGACGAGAGAGTTAATTAATACATATTGTGGTGGATAGTTTAAGAGGGTGGGAGTGAATAGTGAAGTGAAATCATAAAATTAATAAAATAATTTAATTTTGGTAGATTTGGAGACTTAATAGTGAGTTCAACTCAGTGAGCGAAAATCAAAATAAAGAGTGAGTGGAATTTTATGCAACAGAAAAAAACACAAAAGCTCACGAGCAAAACAGCTATGGTTACGAGGGTAGTGAAAGATTAGTTACAATCGCTTTCTGTATGGCAATTGCTTCTGCGAACTGAATTAACCATGACTTTCTGGCTAGTTTCCACCGTACGTCCCATGTCACTTAGGTGTCTGAGAATTGCGCTTGAGAATAGTTTGCTTTGTTTCAAACGGATATATTTAGGGATATGCTCGGAGAATCGAGTAGACACCCTCCTCTCAGTTGTTCCTATGTGCTTGCTGCCGCAAGTGCAGATGAGTTGGTAAATGCAGTTGGAGTCTACATGCTGGGCAGGATACTTAACTACTTTTGACTGAGTTAACGAGCATACTGCGTTGTAAAGTGGAATGAGTCCAGCGGCATGTTCAGAAATTCTATAACATACAGCTGATTTATTAAGGACGTACGCAGTTGAAGAGAATCCACAAAATGAAATGAGCTCGTATTATCCTGCAAATATATTCGTCCTTTCTTCATTCAAACTAATACAGAGAACCTGCTGTATGATAATACTGATATGCTGACTAGTTCTGAGAAAAACTACTTTTACAACATACAGTAAATCACCAAATGGAAGAAAGCCTTATAAAACATGAAACGATTATGAAGAAATATTGTGGCAATTGAGAAAATCAAAAAGTACTCCGTATTTATTTATGAATATTGTGTGAACAAGTTGGATCTGTAGAAGAATACAGTTTGTTAGTCAAAAATTTTCGTGTGGTAACTTTGGACAAGTCATAGCATCACAATAAAGTTAGCCAACTATTTCCTATCAGAAATGAAGAAGATTAATAAGATACCATCTTCTTGTGTATAAATCACTGTTCCTTTCTACTTCTCTTTGACTCTGTAGAGGGTCACTGTAATATTTTCAAGATGTAACACCTTCTCTTTCTTTAGTATACCGATACAAAGTCATTTTTCGGTTATTACCCTTTTATAAGGTAATCAACTTGCACATCATTCCAATCGTTTCAGTAACAGTTAAGGATTCTGTGATTCCAAATCAAACTGTTTGGTAGTCCCTAACAGTAACTTAGCTGTTGCTAAAGTGTAGTAGGTACGAACTGCTCAAAAATATAACGGAAGTAAGATTAGGATTTCCTTCTTGTATATTTTAGTATTACCTGATACATATGTGCTAAAATTCCTTCAGTGTCTATTGACGTATGACGAAAGTGTTGATCACTTCGACAACTATGTATGTGGATAGAGTTAGGCTTCACAGGTAGTCTGGTTAATCGATAACATAATTTGAATTTACATGTTTAAGAAACAAAAAATTAACCAAAGTCATTGATTATGTGCGTCGGTGGCATAGCGGTTAGGACGCTCGCTGACCATGCACATGGTCCGGGGTTTGATTCCCGACCAACGAACTCCTTTATCTCGCTAAGCCAAAAATAATGCTGGTGAAGAGGAAAGGTTGGGCATGGCTAGTAACCCCATCCTGTAAAAATAAACACTGCTACAGAAACTTCAAGCCGTTAGCTTGAAGCCCTATGTTCCACTGGGGAACGTGAAGGAAAAAAATTGATTCATTAGCGCTGTCAATCACGAAATGCGCAAAATTCCTCAGAACATTACACTAAGATGAATAAACGACTAAAATACACTTCAGTGAAAGTTAATTAATTGGGATAAAAGGTGTTGTGCAGTATAACTAAAAAATTCTGTGAACTACGAGCCATCCTAAATTCATACACATTTACTAGTATTATGAGCAGCATTTGCATAAATAGCACTTTGAAGCATTTCCATCTATTTTAATTGCTAGCGTAATTTCCTACAGGTATGTTAAACATTTTTTATTCAGCAAGCATATTTTCAATAAGTATGCATAAATGAACCCTAATTTCATTGTTAAATAAATTTTTCTTGAAAAATTTTAAATATTACAGGTTTATCAGAACAATATGCGTAAAGTTTTGCTGGCATTGACTCACCTGTGCATCTGAAAGCTCCTTTGACAATTGATTATTCTCACTTTTCATTGATTCCAATTGGTCTTTCATATTCTTACTAGACGAACTGTTCAAATCCAAATATTTTATAAGACGTAACAAATCCCTTTCAATAAACAGAAGCAGAGACTTCAATTCCTCTAAGTCGTAATTATTCCTTGATGGTGCATTGTTGACTTCACGTATGAATCGTCCAGTTTCTGAAGGTAAATTGTACGTATCCATTGGCTTTACCAGGCACTTTGCTAAAACCTTAACGTGCATAAAATACCAGCAAAATGCTTACTTGAACGATGGAGGAAAAAATTGGTGAATAAGTATCACTACGATTTAAACCAACATCAGTCTGACATTCCTGACAGTTGGTTGTTATTTTTGCATTATTGCCAGTAAGTTTCGATGCCATTTGAGAGGGAGAGTTATAGAAACGCTCTACATCAGAAATCCACTTCAAAGCTTCAGCAGCTATTGTGCTGTCCATGTATTTATCTGTTAGGGGACTGTTTAACTGACAGCGAATACTATCATCTTTGTTTTCATCATTTTCTTTTGCTTCTTTATCTAATACGTTAGAATTGTAAGCACTTATTCTTACTAGCATTGATCGCATCTGTAAGAGCATAGACAACCGATATGTGTTCACTGACGCAAGAACTCAATGAATTCACGTCTTCAGAACATGGATAGGAGTAAAGAGCATCTACCTTGCATATATAGCTCAAGATTTGAATGATAAGTAAGCACCTATAAGTATGTTTCTTAGTCAAATAAAAATTATTTGCAACCTATCGATTATCATCTCAAGTAAAAATACGTGCAATATGGTATTTGATGACTGGTTAGTTTGAGAATAATTACACTTGGATAAAACAGAATGAATTTTTATCTCCAGGGCTGATTTTCCAGGAAACTTCCACGAGTATGTATTCCTCATTTTGGCGCGTCTGTTGAGCTTTTCAACAAAATCATGAAGTAGATTGACTTCTTTTCTGAGTTTTAGAATACATGCTTCGCTACCAAGAGACATTTCTTTTGAAAAAGTGAGACTCTTAATTGCCTATTGTGTAAGTATCAATAGTGCAGTTAAACAAATTGAGGGCATATCACATGAATGACTCAGAATTCAAGCACTTATAATTTGTCTCAAGAATCGTTGTGACTTAAATTTTTCCAGGTGTCTTGACTGTCTCTTTTAAGTTGACTTTGTTGTTCTCAACTGCTCCGGTAGGGCCATCTGACTGACGCTATGCAACGTATGGTTTCATTAAGAGCATACCATCCTGACGCCCAATTAACATAAACAGCTCAGCAATTACTTCGCATACTGCCTGTGTAAGGACTACCGTGAAAAGAAGTACGATATTATACAGGAATCAACAACATTTTTTGTCTAAGAACAAAAGCTTTCGAAAGACAAAACTATCACTTCACAGAGGAAGAATGGCAACTGCTCTGATAACGATATTACCGTTGGTTTCGTCGCGAAGCCAAACACATCATCTTTAAGGAGTGAATGTAAAAAGATAGATGGACACGCCTGAAGCAGTGATACACCCACTTAACCTGAGTAGAAGATGAGCTGTACGTGTCACCACAGCATTGAAAATTTCATGCACAAGCTTCTAGTGTGGGTACTGGTCAACAGAATAGGAAGCGTACAATCCAATATCCAATATCCTGATTACGAACTAGTATAAACCAGTGATTTCTTTGAGCTGGCTTCTTGATTGTAAGGTAGACGTTCCAGATCTTCGGTGAACTTATGCGTAGTAAATCCCGCCACTCGACTGCTTTAGCTCTGGTAGACTCCAAGAGGAGTGGTGCGAGGATTGGTCAAGATGTGGTTTGTAGTGTGCAGTATATTAGGACTCAGTTGTTGCCGTGAATGGAGTTTGACCTAACACCCGTTGGTCATTCGGTGTAGTCTTAAAAGTAGAATAGTAATAATAATAGGTTGTAGTGTAGATAATATAGGTTGAGATAAGTGAAATAATAAAGGTGACCTAAGGAAAGGATAGAGTAGTCGGTACAGTGAGAGAAGACAGAACGGGTCGTGGGGATTTAGCTTGTATGCTTATCCATTGACAGTGTGGTTTCAAATTTTAAGAGGATAAGCCACTGAGACACAAACCATGCGTTTCTGCATGATTGTCCAGCTTCCGCTTAAAAGTCTCCAAAGATGGCGCTGTAGTTACGGCCGCCGGTAAAGCATTCAAGAGATGGCAAACTCGAAGCGAAAAGAAATGTAAACGCACTCGAGTCTTTGGTCTCTGGTGTGCTATCCTTAGTGAGTTACCTCGTGGAAGCCTATAATCACTTGATGGCAGGATGCTCTTATTAGGGTGGGCCTGGTCATTTAAGATCTCATGGACGGTGATGAGGTCTCCCCTGTGACTATGGTAACTAAGTGTGAAAAGACTTAATTTCCTTAGTCTTTCCTCATATGATTTGTTGCGGAGGCCGATCACCCATTTTGTCGCTCGTCTCTGGACACTTTCTAGCATGTTAGCATCCCTTTTGAGTAGCGGAGGAGCAATGATATTATGCACCTCAAGGAGTGGCCTCAAGTATGTCGTATACAACCTTAAGAATAGTTCGGGAGTAAGAGCTCCCAGCTGCCTATGCATACAGTGTAAAGTGGCGTAAGCTTTGGCGACGTCCCTCGTGTAATTTACACTGGTGTCTAGCTTTTCTGTTAAAATAAGACCTAGGTCGCGTTCTGATGGCACACAACTCAAGTTCTGGCCACCAAGGGTGTAATTTACACTCTGTGACCTGACTCTGTGACAATGACGGATCAAGAATGGAATATAAGACCCGAATTTCGAAATGTCATCATTCTCAGAGGATTCAAAAAGACAGTCACGCACAACGTACGGCCTTCGAAAGAAGGAAAACTATCCAATACCAGAATCGAGAACACTGATCACTACAAATCTGATAGCATTGAGAGGTCGAAGTTATCCACACAGTGCAACCCTCAAGTGAAGCATAACCGAAGAACCCTATTGTTATAAGTCCTACTACAAATGTGCCATTCACTGGGACCTTTGAAGGCATCGGGAGTCTTGTTTGTTTAGAATGGGCTATAAGATGGACTCTCTACTTAAATGTCTTCACCCATTCTCGAAGGCATAGGGAAACGTATGGCTGGGAGACGCACGAATTCGGGAGACATTTATGTTCCTGCGCTCTCAGATATCAATCTCTGAGCTAACCTATGATTGGTAGACCTATCACAGAACAAAGAATTGAAGTTAAGCGAACAGTTATGTGATTGCGAGAAGGTTTATCATTACAGGTCTTTGTGCAATGAAATTTCATAATAATAATACGTATTTATCCCTCTCTACATGGGAACACACCAGTTGTACAGGCATACATAAACTTGATTTATGGTGAAACTGCATGGTTGCTGTCCATTTTGTCTATAGTTTGTGGGGACAATATGCTAATTAGACATTCGATGGAACATATCAAGAAATATAGAAATATTGTCTTCGCACAAACAAAAAATCCGAAGTGTGTGTTGGATGGATTACAAATACTTGGGAAAAGAATAAAGCTTGAAGTCAATTCTCCCATACGAATCTGGTGTGTACGGCATAGGATCTAATTCTTGATTTATATCTAAATTTAGTATTAATTCGAAATAAGTGATATACTTTTATAAGTGTCAGACAACTTACTAGAACATGAACTTATCAATCCATCACAACACGGATTTCTTAAAAAAAGATCATGTGTGACCTGTCACATAGACTTTTTCAACGAAGTTACACGAAGTAGGGACAACAGAGAACTAGTAATTGTGCTATATTTCGATATAACAAAAGCCTTCGACAGAGTTCCCCATAATCTGCTAGTCAGCAGGTTATGCTCACTAGGGATATGTGACCCTCTCCTGAGCTGGATAAAATCATTTCTCTGTGGCCGAAGTCAGACAACGAAAGTTGGCTCGATAATCTGAAGGCCTAAACCAGTAAGTAGTGGTGTAATCCAGAGAAGTGTATTAGGCCCACTCTTATTCATAATATATATATAAACAGTATCTGTGAATGCTTTAGTGTAGGTAAACCAATACTATATGCAGATGACTTAAAAGTGACGTATAAATGCAAGAACACAGATCTTGGAATAACAGTAAACGTCATACAGCAAGAATTAGAAAAAATGGATAGATGGTGTGACACCTGGCAACTCCAATTTAATGTGGAAAAATGTGGCTGGCTCTGCATAGGCTGCAACAATTTAGAACTTGACCTGACAATTCAAGGCCATGCACTTCAACGACTGGAATCTGTACTGGACCTAGGGCTGAAATATTCACATAACTTATCATTTTCTGAACATATCTCCAAACAAGTGTCAAAGTCACGCAGACTTATCGGCTTTCTACTCAGGAACTTCTACAGAAATGAGTCTAGAATTCTGTTGTACAAGGTTTGTGTGCGTCCTTTATTTGATTACTGTTCATTCATGTATGGTAGCATACGCATAGAGGACAAATTGAAAGTCGAGGGAGTGCAGAGGTACTTCACGTTAAAATTACTCGGAACTGAAAATGGTACGAACTACTCCACTAGATGTGGTACCCTAGGACTAGAAACACTATGGCCAAGACGCCTGAGACTAAACTTGACACTTTAGTATAAGCTTCTTAACCGCTTAGTTTTTACCTCTACCAATGGCACTCGACTTTCAGATGACAATGGTTACAAACTAAGACACACTAAGGGTACAGTAGCTATCGAACAATGTGAAACAGCCACCAGGCAAAAGTTTTACTTGATTAGGTATGCACAGATATGGAATAAACTGCCAATGAAAATGCGTCAAGCAAGTACATTGGCCTCCTTCAAAAAGGTGCTTAATGACAAACTACAAGAGTTTGCAAACGATAGTAGTTCTAGTTCCCATCTGAGAGCCTCCGAAATTATAGGTCCATTTAATGTATAAGCTTAAATACTACACCTGTTGTTTTTTGCCTATATTTATAATTCTAGATAAAACATTAACGGTTAAGATACGTATCCTCAAACAGACAAGAAATCTCGTTTGTAAAACTACTACCCATCACAATAAGTGGAATAAAATGGACATAAACCGACAACATGAAAAAGGTATAACTCACCACAAAATCACAAGGACAGATGAACGCTCGTTGGGCACCATATATCCCTCACCAACTGCAACCCACCTTTCCTTAGATAATGTGATGAACTTATATCCATAATGTTGCTGAGCAGTTAATATTCTCAACTCCTGTCGGAACAGCTGAAACTCATAAACCTTCCTAACGCTAAGAAAATACCCGTAAGCAGTAGAAATCCATTAATTAATGCGTCCGAAGCTTATGTACTTACTCCCAACAATGACATTGAAGATCAAATGAGATAAACACATCACTGATTTCAAAATAACACGTCAGTGAACTATAATTCGAGGACTCTGCACACAACAAAGTTATGTATGAATATTTACTTCAAGCTTTATTTTTTTCCCAGGCACTTATAATCCATCCACCAAAGACCTGGTTTTTTGTTAATGCGAAGACAATACTCCTGTATTTCCTGTTGTGTTGCACTCACTGACAATCTAGCAGATTTT